TGGGTCAGCGGCTCTCTTTCCAGGGAGTTTTCTCCCTCTCTTGCTTCGTTGTCTGACATGGTAAATTTTTGCAAAATCCCCCGGCAAGGGTCTACCTTCCAGGTGGATTAATTTTGCAAGTCCTGTCTAATGTAAGGACCCACCCCACTTTGCATCTTAAGAAGACAGAACTCTTGGAATAGCTCTTCCAACAGGAATCCTTTATTAAGAGAAAATGGTTGCAGGCATGCTAGACAGGACTTGGGGTTCAAGCTCTCCCATTCAAGGTTTTAAGGGGTTCCCCAGTAGTCCCACCCAATCAACCCCCTTCCAGTGATAGTTTCAAGTATCACAATTCCATCCCCTTTCTTCTTCCGTCTGGATGGAGACTTCAGATAACTACATGAAAGGCAATTACTCTTCTTTGATATGTTAAAGCTTAGAGGCCACAATAAACACACATTCAGTCCTTTGAAGTGTGCTGAAGGAAGTGAGGGCCATAAAGCCCCTTTGCTCTCCCCCTTTTCTCCCTCTTATGGCAGAATCCAGAGAAGGCAGAATTGGGAGTTTCTATGTTTGATAATTAAAGATGAAATATAATTGGATTCTGACACAGGGGTCCCCAACCCCCGATCTGCAGACCGGTAGCGGGCCGCAGCATGCCAGCAACCGGTCCACACAAACAAGCAAAGCCCCATCCTTGGGATGCAGGCAGCACACAAAACCACGCACCCTCCGGTCCACGGAAAAACCTCTCTCTACAGAACTGGTCCCTGGTGCCCAAAAGGTTTGGGACCTCTGCTTTAAGGCATTGGCAGCAATCACCATAAATAACGAAGGAATTCAAAGTTTTCACCTCATGGCCAACAGCAGTCAGAAGTAGTCAGTCAACAGCCATAAAAGGGGTGCAACTATGACAGGCCTGCACATCTTGGCAACCTTGGCTCTTTTATGTGGACTTCAATTCCCAGAATTCCTGAGCCAACCATGCTGAGGGGAAAGGGAGAGGTTTCCAAGCTGAGCCATGCAGGCTCAGGAATTCTGGGAGTTGAAGTCCACGAGTCATGAAGCGGCCTAGGCCTAGGCCAGAGGTAGGCAACCTTGGCTCTTTTATGACTTGTGGACTTCAACTCCCAGAATTCCTGAGCCACCATGGCTCAGCTTGGAAACCTCTCCCTTTCCCCTCAGCATAGCTGGCTCAGGAATTCTGAGAGTTGAAGTCCACGAGTCATAAAAGAGCCAAGGTTGCCTACCCCTGTCCTAGCTGGAGTCATCCTGGTGGCGCTTAATATCACCAAAGACTGAACTCAGGAGGCAAAATGGTGCAATCCTCACTAAAAAGAATTGTGGCTCCACAAAATCCCTTGCTGGCACAACCGACAGAAAGCCTGTTAACTCTATCCTTAACCACACGATCCATGAAATATCCTTGATTAGGTAGAGAAGAGCATAAGCACTGTATTCAAACTAGAATTGCTAGAGAGGATTTTAAGCTAATGTGGGTACAGGACTAACAATGTTAGGAAGAATAGAACAGAATATCAGAGGCTCAGGATTGAATTGGGGAATCCTTGGTGTTGTGCAAGTTTGGTCCTTTGCTTGCAAACTTTTAATTATTCAATTAGATAACATAATAAAAACACCCAGGAAGCCACATGTGACAAGAAAACATGAAATTCCAGCATAATTAATTCCTAGGAGAAAGAGAGAGCCAGTTTGGTGTAGTGATTAATACATTAGAAACCAGGAACTGTGAGTTCTAATCCTGCCCGAGGCATGAAAGCTGGCTGGTTGACTTTGGGCTAGTCTCTCTCTCTCAGCCCAACTCACCTCATAAGATTGTTGTGGAGAAATCTGGAGGAAGAAGGAGCATTAGGTATGTTTGACACCCTAGTTATTTATAAACAAGGCGGGATCAAAATATAAACATAATAAAGGTGGGATCAAAATAAATAAAACTATTCAAACCTGTTAGGGAAAGCAGTGGAAAAATCTTGTTCATTCAGTTACAGATCCAGATCTTTTGGCAACCCAGAACATGGATTAAATTAAATGTTGCGTGCAGCCACAAACCTACAATTTTAACCAAGAAAGTTGGTCCTCTAATCCAGTGTTTCTCAACCTTGTCAACTTTAAGACGTGTGGATTTCAACTCCCAGAATCCCCCAGCCAACAAAGCTGGGGGTTGGAAGTCCACACATCTTAAAGCTGCCAAGTATGTGCAGCGCTGCTCCAAGTCTTTGGTGAAGCTGAGTGTCCCTCCATGCAGCATCCCTCCAAAAATCTGGGGATACCCAGCGGCAAAGTTACCCCTCTAAAAAGAGGTAAGGAGCCTTAACTCTAACCTGATTCCTATTTTATATTTCAGTTCCACCCCACTTTCTCCTGCCCGGAGTAATGCACAGGAACCTGGCACAAAGAAGACCAGGACAAGAAACAATGGATGGAAACTTATCAAAGAGAGAAGCAACCTGGAATTAAGGAGAAACTTCCTAACAGTGGGGACAATTAACCAGTGGAACTGCTTGCCTTCGGAAGTTGTGGATGTCCATCACTGGAGGCTTTTAATCAATCAGAATAGAGCTGGAAGGGGTCTTGGACGCCGCTCAAGCAGGAGACTCTACACCAGTGACGGCGAACCTTTTAGAGGCCGAGTGCCCAAAACCCGCCCCGCTCGCTCTGCCCCTGCCCCTGCTCCATCCCCTCCACCCTGCCCTCACTATGCCCCCGTCCCACCCACCCGCTGGACCACCCACCGCCTCTACAGCCCGCTATAGCAGATTGCCCAGGCGGCCCAGCAGCATCATGGCAGCCATCCCCTCCGCCCGCACCCCGCAGCATCATCTATGCACGACAGGACACGAGGGTGGAGTCTTGTCCCTGCTGCCCTGTGCTTGGGTGCACTGCTCCATGCAGGCCGTGCCCGAGGGCGACTCTCAGCCAGGGGGGCTGCTGGTGAGGAGGGCTGTGGGGGGAGGCAGGACTGGGGCAATGGCGTGCGTGCCCACAGAGAGGGCTCTGAGTGCTGCCTCTGGCACACGTGCCATAGGTTCGCCACCATCATCCTATACCATTTCAGGCATGTGGCTGTCTAGTCTCTTCTTAAAAACCTCCAGTGATGGAGCACCCACAACTTCTGAAGGCAACTTCTGTTCCACTGGCTGATTGTCCTCACTGCTAGGAAGTTTCTCCTTAATTCCAGGTTGCTTCTCTCTTTGTCAGTTTCCAACCATTGTTTCTTGTCCTGCCCTCTGGTGCTTTGGAGAGTAATTTAACCCCCTCTTCTTGGTGGCAGCCCCTCAAATATTGGGTCACTGCTATCCTGTCACCCTTACAAACCTCCAGTGGTGAAGCACCCACCAACTTCTGGTGGCAAGCTGTTCCACTGGTTAATTCCTCTCACTGTTAGGAAATTTCTTCTTCTTAATGCCAGGTTGCTTCTCTCCTTGATTAGTTTAAGATAACCTTTATTGTCGTTTATTTTACTGTGGGCACAACGGCACACATCAAAAATGAAATTTAGCTGCCCACTCTCAAAGTGAAACACAGCTAAAACATACTACATACAACATATGTAAGAAAAGATTGGACAGCCCCTTGTCTGAAATGGTAAGGGATCTCCTGCTTGAGCAGGGGGTTGGACTAGAAGACCTCCAAGGTCCCTTCCAGCTCTGTTCCGAGTTCAAAAAGATGACCTCCAGGTCGCAGACAGCGAGGCTAAACACTAGGCAAATCTGCCCCGAGGTCCCCGCCTCCTGCTACCCTCGCCCCCTAAGCCTGCTCCCCAGTGATCCACTCACCCGCCCCCCCGGAACTAAACCTACCATACTCGATCCCTCCGGAGAGGAAAAGCAGCCCGATGGTGAAGCCGGTCCGTTTCTTCTTCCGTTGGGGATCCATCCATGCGCTCCCGGCGCTGCCTGAGTAACAGATGCGGAGCGAGGGGCCCGGGGAGGAACTGCTGCCGGGCCGGACTCGGCCGGGCGCTTATAGGGCGGCGGACCCGGGCATCCCCGCCCGGCCACCTCGCGCCTCCTCCGGCTCGTTATGCGGCGCACCTGGCACGGGCGCGCTCGGTTTGCCGGCACCTCCCTCCCTCCCTCCGATCCGGCGGCTTTGGGGCGACCTAGAGCGGCGGTCTGCCTGGGTTGCCGGCCTGCCTCCCCCCCGCGGAGAGCCCTTTGGACCGGCCCGCAAAGTCCGCGAGCCGGGAATGAATGGAAGGTACTAAGCTGAAAGGGGGGGGAGGAGAAAACGACCCTCACCAGGGTTGTTGCTTCTCGAAAAGCCAAGAGCGAAAACAACCGAAAGAAGGCGCCAGCACCTGGATTCCGAATATGTTACTACTTGCAAAAGCTGTTCCATACAGGGTGTAGTTTACTATATATAAAGTGTGTGTGTGTGTGTGTGTGTTTTCATGTGTGTGCACTTTTTTTCTCTGCATTTTTTCCGAAGTCTCAACATCTTTTTTGTAGTGTGGTGGCCAAAAAACTGGGATGCAGTATTCCAGGTGTGGCCTTACTAAGGCTTTACAGAGCGGTACTAATACTTCACTTATACTAATAGTTCCTCTCCTGTGCATTCTTCCATCAGCTCTGTGAAGGAGGTCCATTGCCAACCTGCTGGTTTAGGCACAGCATGCAAAGCGAACTTCCTTGCAGACAGTCTCACGCCAGTGTGGCACTACAACTCCCATCATTTCCAGTCAATGGCTGCCCAGAAGGAGGAGTCCTTGCGAGAGGCAAAGCTTATTCGTTTCATCTACATTTAAAATAGATTATCTCTCCCCCCCCCCAATAGTGATAATAGGCTTTTTCAACAGGAATACAAATATTCGAGATGTTCACGGGCGCCTTAAAAGAGGCCGGGCAATCCCTTTGGCTCCGAGCGTCACGGCAACGTCTGCGCGTGCGCAGCTCAAAGACATCCGGACCCTCTGGAGGCGCTGTTTTTTTTTTTCCCTTCATTCCGCTTCTCGCGCCAGGAACAATACGGCTGGGCCGCCTTCAAGCCTCTGACGTCATCGTCGGGCGCCTGCGCCGGAAGCGGAAGAGCGCGAATGTCTGGGTCGTGCAGTGTCTGAATGTGTGGATGTTTCACGTGCGTTTCTCGTGGAGTTGTGTAGCTGCTCTGGCTCCTAGCGGAAGGCTTGTGGGGCCCTCGGCTCGCCCCCTCCCCGTTTAAATCTTGCGCCTGGCCTGCTCTTCCTCCTCGCCATGGCGGGCATCCTCTTCGAAGACATCTTCGACGTGAAGGATATCGACCCCGAGGGCAAGAAATTCGACCGGGGTGGGGCTCAGATGCAATCTCGTTTTTCCCCCTCCCCAAACTATCCCTCCATTTTGCTTGTTCTGCTTTCGAGGAGGCCTTGGTGGTTCAGCTCCCCGCTTTATCCGCACAACAGCCCTGTGAGGTAGGGCAGGCTTCGCCGTGCTGAGCAGCCCCAGGTCCTCCGCAGGAGAGTCGTGTCTCTTGATGTTTTTGATTTGAGGCCAGCTGCTAAACTATTACTCGAGATTTGAGGCTACAGTTCCGAAAACTCTTTAAATTGGGAAGTCGTTTGTGTGTTGCCGTTGCAAAACGACTTGGACGTGACCGTGAAATCCCCGAGGACGGAACTCAGTTTGGAAACGTTGCTTTTTGGGCAAATGCATTCTGGAAAGTAGCAGGTTGAAAGCAACTGGTTTCATTTGGGTAATGCAGCACAGGGGGTAGAATATTTTCCCTTCATTGTGTAGCCTGCCTCACACGGTTGTTGTAAGCATTAAAGAAAAAGAATTATTATTATGTACTTTTACCAAGGCAAAATATAAGTCAGGTAATTTATGAAGGCTGGACTATTCCATCAAGCCGTGGGATGGGGCTGCTATGATTACCCCTATGAATGAGTAATTACTTTTAATTGTGTTTTTGGAATATTTGGTTCCTGCTGTATATGGTTATTTTATGAAGCATAAATTTGGTTTTACTCTGATTAGCATTTATTTACTTTAACCCAATCACAGATTGGGGTATTGCACGTTGGTTGCTTGAAACAGCCACCAAGGAGCCTTAAAAATCAAATGACTTTCCATTTTAATCCATCTAATCATACTGGGTTCCTTGAAGGAAGCATTTATTGCAGTGTTTCCCAAACTTGACAATTTTAAGGCATGTGGACTTCAACTCCCAGAATTCCACAGCCAGCGTTGCTGGCTGTGGAATTCTGGGAGTTGAAGTCCTCATGCCTTAAAATTGTCAAGTTTGGGAAACACTGATTTATTGGAACAACTAATGCCAACTTTAATGTCAATTGTCCCATTAGCATATACAGGAAAAGGAACGCCCAGGACATAATTTTACCAAGAGTATAATTTTACTGATAAATCCATATAGGTACAGACAAAGTAATGACAGTTCTAAAGGTTTCCACAGACAGCTGCATAGGTAAAGTTTCCCTTTTCCTCTTCAGGCTTCCTATTGCCCATTGTTCACCAATCCAACGCTTGCTTTGTGTTTTGGAAAACAGTCTGTGCTGTTCGAAGAGTTCCCATAACACAGGGGACTTCAAACTTGGCAACTTTAAGACTTGTGGACTTCAACTCCCAGAATTCCTCAGGGCTGGCTAAGGAATTCTGGGAGTTGAAGTCCACAAGTCTTAAAGTTGCCAAGTTTGAAGACCCCCTGCCATAACATGACCTTGAAGTGAAGGAACTTTCACAGGGCCCAGCTGGCTTTCTGGATTCCTCAGCCCTTCCCAAGTGCCCCCAAGGCTTCCATCTCCTCCTTTCCGTTTCTGTTGTCAAGCTGCAAGGAAAATGGCAGGCAGGGATAGAATCCAAATCAGCTGACATTTACTCTTAACTCTTAAGGGTTCCTGACCTCCTGTTTGATTCTTGTGGTAGAAGAAAAGTACCACTTATCCCCATTCTAAGAATAAGGTACTAGTGGTCTTCCCTCAGTAAGGCTGTGTTTTACTGCAGCCTTCAAATCTGGCTGTGCATAGGTACTCCTTCAACATGTATCTGTTCCCCAAATAAATGGAAATCCCAAGAATTTTATTGTAATCATTTCAACAATGCTGAAGAATTTTTCAGCACTTTGTAGAAAACCTAGATCAGTGGTTCTCAACCTTTTTAATGCTGCGACCCCCAACTGGTCATAAGTCGAGGACTACTCAACCGGTCGTAAGTCGAGGACTACTCACCTGGTACAGCACCGTTTGCAGACTGGGACTTTTGGCGGGCTCAGCAGGACAGAGACAGTCTGGACAATTCCTATTGGCTTTTGAAAGCCAATAGAATTAGACTCTATTCAAGAGAGTCTATTCTATTAGCTTTCAAAAGCCAATAGAATAAAAGGGAGTAGCACAGCTAAGGAAAAGGGGGAAAAAATGGCAGACTGTGTTGTTTGCGACCCCCGTGAAATGGTCGTTCGACCCCAAATGGGGTCCCGACCCACAGGTTGAGAACCACTGACCTAGATGAACTGGAGACTTTTCCCTAAGCCTCGCACACTTTTGGAGTGAAATTTGAGCAGTAAAAGTCTTTCTTGAAGGTTTTACCTTTCAACAACTAACATCTTGGCATGTCTTTAGTTTCCCGGCTGCACTGTGAGAGCGAGTCCTTCAAAATGGATCTGATCCTCGATGTGAACGTACAGATCTATCCAGTTGATCTTGGTGAGCACACACCTAGTCATGTTTCTTGAGTTCCTATATCCTTATAAAATATATTTGGATGGTGTTTTTTTCCTGCAACCAAATTCAGACCTGCAACATAAGATTTTCATTAATATATGTAGCTCAGGGTTAATCTGTGAAGTTTTTGGTGCTCTCTTTGTTTGCTTGCAGATGTTTCATTATCCAGCTAGGTAACATCATCAGTGCTATTCAGGGTGGAGTTTATTCTTTGTTTATATACAGTAACTTGCTCTGTTACTGCTGGTGAGGTGTGGTTGTCTCCTTGGTTCCTTAATTAGGCTATCATTTTTTTCTTGATTGCTTGGTGTTAATCCCTGCTTATTTGGGTGTTGGCTGCTGAAGAGGATGTTTTCATGTCTTTCTGGTTCCTTTTTTGTTGCTGTTGTTGAATAGTATGTAAACAAGCAAACGACCAAGCACAGAAAGCACCAAGGACACCGCATAATTTTTTTTTGCTTATTACTAGAAAGAATAATAGCAGCATCTAGAATATTCTGGATTTGCATAATGCATTGAATCATGAACTAAAGCTGCTCAGAAGCCTTTGTAAGGAGATCGGTGGCATAAAAACTTAATATGTTCTCCCTTGACCCCAGTGATGAAGGGAGAGATATAGAGGCTCGGGTACGGAAGCCTGCTTGGCACAAAAAGAAAGCTAGAGTTAGATTTAAAAATGGAATTTAAAATCACATTAATGGGTTAAAAAGATTTTTAGAGATATTGATTGAGTTAGTATTTAGGATTTAGAATTAGGATAAGAAATAGAATATATTTGTGAAATAGAGTAAGAATGTAAATTTTGGAATAATATGGTTATCTCAGAAATACATATTTTGTAATGGAATGAGATTAAGGAAATGGAATTGTGAAATGAGCTATTAGATAAAAAAAATAGAACGGAATTGGGAAAAGTAAGAATATAATTTTTGGAATAATATGTTTATTTTAGATATCACAACTATTACGTAATGAAATGAGGGAAAATTGGGTTACCTAAAGAATAAACAATATGGTCATTTAAGGCTAATTGGAATATGGCAATTGGAATTATGTAAAGCTTAAAAACAGGACATGGATTTGTATAAGTAAAGGGTATTGATTGATTGAGCTCTATTTATAAATGCATTAATTTTAACATTTTATACTAATTAAGGGAAATAGAGAGGGAAACTTTAAGGAGTTAACCTGAGGAATATATTTTATGACTTTGTTATTGGATTATTGATTACCCCATCATCACGTTGTTTCCTAAGCACTTGGATGTAAAAACTGAAAAATTAATAAAACTTGTGTTAAAAAAACCTTAATAAATAATCATAATAACTAATCAGAGGCTTGACTCAGTTAAGCATGCCAAGTCATACTGATCAAATCTAGCACATCCATAACTTAGTAAATAAAGTAATAGATTCCAGTGTTTGATATTTCTTGAGATGTTTTCCTCCAAGAAAGCCCTGTTCTGTTCATGCATGCACAATTCTTTTCAAGTCCTGCACTCGGATCTTTCCCAAATGTTGTCATGAACCTTGACATACTAGAGTTGTGCATTCGTCCACTGATTAAGTCTGGCGAGTCTGATTCACAGGCTTTTTGCTTTTTCGTTTTGTATTTCACTTCTAACGTTTTATCATTTCTTGCCATTTCAGGAGACAAATTCCGCCTTGTGATAGCCAGCACTTTGTATGAAGATGGGACATTGGACGATGGCGAATATAATCCTACGGATGATAGACCCTCCAGGTGAGAAAAGGCCTTTTCTGCAGAGCTAGGGTGGAGGCCAGCGTAAACAAAATGCCATTATTGTCACAGATCTTTGATCTCCTCCTCTAAGCTTTGAGTTTTTAGATCTGATGGAGTAATAAGGGAGAATTGGAGAATTCTGGCTGGAAAATTATGGGAGTTGAAGTCCACAAGTCTTTTTAAGGTTGCCAACTTTGGATCCCTGATCTAGAGAAACAAATATGGCCACCTTGATTCTAGGGTGCAAAACTAGTCTACAAATGTTTCCCTTTCCCTCCCCCACCTCAAAACTTTATGCCAATCCTATGAGATAGGTTAGACCAGGGGTCTTCAAACTTGGCCCTTTTATGACTTGTGGACTTCAACTCCCAGAATTCCTCAGCCAGGCACGCTGGCTGAGGAATTCTGGGAGTTGAAGTGCACAAGTCATAAAAGGGCCAAGTTTGAAGACCCCTGGGTTACACTGAGAAAATGTGTTTTGAGTTCTATTACTCAATGACTTTCATGGGTGAATCACGATGGAACCTGAAATAATCCAGTCTTAAGTGTGCACAATCATAGAACAACAATGTAAGAATTCAAGGCCAGGACGTTGGCTCTTTCACAAAGGAATATTTTGATGTCTGTATGTCACAGGTGGAAGGCTTGAATTCTGGACTGATGCTGAACGTACTCCTTCATTTTTGATGTTTCTGGTAATTTTAATGTATGTTTTAATGTATGTGCCCTTCTTTTGGCCGATTCTTCTTCACAGGGCGGACCAGTTTGAATATGTGATGTATGGGAAGGTGTACAGGATTGAGGGTGATGAGACATCAACAGAAGCAGCCACACGCCTGTGAGTGTCCTCTTCTGAAATAGGCTGAAGAGTAATTGTGTTTTGACATCATACAAAGCCGTAACTTGATTGGTTGGATTTGGACAGAGGATGTTGTTTGAAGGTCTAAGGCAGGGGTAGGCAACTGTGGCTCTTTTATGACTTGTGGACTTCAACTCCCAGAATTCCTGAGCCAGCCATGCTGAGGGGAAAGGAATTCTGGGAGTTGAAGTCCACGAGTCATGAAGGGGCCATAGTTCCCCCATGCTGGCTCAGGAATTCTGGGAGTTGAAGTCTACCCATCTCCGAGTGGCCAAGGTTGAAAAATACAGGCCTAGGCCAGGGATAGGCAACCTTGGCTCTTTTATGACTTGTGGACTTCAACTCCCAGAATTCCTGAGCCAGCATGGGGGAACTATGGCCCCTTCATGACTCGTGGACTTCAATTCCCAGAATTCCTGAGCCAGCCACGCCGAGGGGAAAGAGGTTTCCAAGCTGAGCCCTGCTGGCTCAGGAATTCTGGGAGTTGAAGTCCACAAGTCATAAAAGAGCCAAAGTTCCCCACTTCTGGTCTATGGCAACTCGTTGTGACCAACTCACTACAGCTAATTAGCTAATTAGCTGTAAGACAACTCGCCACGATCAAGGCACAGGACGACTTGCCAGGGGGCAAGAATTATACTGATATCAAAGAAATAGTTGAACAGGATCATTAAGGAAAGGATGCGAAAGGAAGGACAAAATAAAATGTGAATGACAAAAACTAAAATAATTTTTAGATGGTTTTATATGATTAAATAGAATTGTTCCGCAGTGAGTTGTCCTGCGGCAAGTTGGCCACTGCATGTTGGCCGTGATGAGTTGGCTACGGCGAGTTGCCCTGTTCCATTCTCAAGATGCTTTATACCAGTGTTTCTCAACCTTGAAAATTTTAAGGCATGGGGACTTCAACTCTCAGAATTCCACAGCCAGCTTTATGCTTTCTGAGTTTAAGAGCTGCAGTAGCGCAGTGGTTAGAATGCAGTATTGCAGGCTAATTCTTCCGACTGCCAGCAGTTCGATTCTCACCAGCTCAAGGTTGACTCAGCCTTCCGTCCTTCCGAGATCGATAAAATGAGGAGCCAGATTGTTGGGGGAGGCAAATATGCTGACTCTGTAAACCACTTAGAGGGGGCTGTAAAGCACTGTGAAGCAGTATAGAAAGTGCTGTTGCTGTTGCTATGAGTCCCCTGTGCATGGTTTTTGGGTGGTCCTTTTGCTCATTGCGCTAGATCCATAAGCCATGGTTTTAAGCACCAAACCATCTGAATTACGGCTTAGAGCTTGGCAACTTTAAGAATGGTGGACTTCAACTCTCAGAATTCCTCAGCGAGCTGTGCTCTCTGGGGAATTCTGGGAGTTGATGTTCACAAGTCTTAAAAGTTCCCAATGTTTTGGAGACCCCTGGCTTTGAGCAACATGTGGTTCATCCAGTTTGCTAAGAACATCTGCTTTCCGCGAAGATCATTCTATTTTTGCATCTTCGGTTAAATAAAGGGACCAGATTGCAGATAACGGGAAAGGCTGACTGTTTAAGATTCTCCCCCTAACTAACCTGATATTTTCTACATAGTTGGGTCTTCAGCTCCCTCATTTCCTAAGTAGCATGAGTAGGGATTGACTAAATGTTAAAGATGTGATATACAACCTCTTGAGGACAGAAGATTAAAGAAGGATGATCTAAGAAGTTGTATGGCAGAGGACAGTCTTTGTGATGTATCACGAGCGCAGTGTTTTTCGCCATCGTCCGTAGCGTTTCTCAAATCTCGGCTGCTTGAAGTTGTGTGGACTTCAATTCCCCCATGCTGGGGAATTCTGGGAGTTGAAGTCCACACACCTTCAAACAGCCAGGGTTGAGAAACGCCGAGGCAGCCTGTGGCAGTGTGGCCTATTCAGGCCATTTTCTCTCTGTGAGCAGGCTGCCTCCTCTCTCACACCCTTCTCTTCCCCTCCTCCAGCTCTGCCTACGTCTCCTACGGCGGCCTGCTCATGAGACTCCAGGGAGATGCCAACAACTTGCACGGCTTTGAAGTGGATTCAAGGGTCTACCTCCTGATGAAGAAATTAGCCTTCTGACCAGCTTCTGCCACCAGACGGTTGGAGGCTCCATTAGCAGCTTGGAACATTACAGAAAATAGCCCAGATCTGCTCCTTCCTCTGCCTTATAGAGGCATATGGAGCAAAGCTTGTTGATGAGTTAGAAAGATCCTTCTAATGTTCTCCACTGCCTTGTCAGCCACGAGAAAGACAAACTTTTCTCCCTCCCATTTTCCCAGGGCCCTTTGCAGGTAGGAAGTGGCTGCCACATGCCTTCCTCATGAAGCTAAGCAGTAATATTTCCAGGCACCGGAAACTCTATGCTTTTGATGAGGTGATCTGTTTTACAGTGAAGGAAGGTCATTTTTCTACAAAGGCAACACTGCCATTTCTGGAAAACTGGAGCCATTTTTCTCTGGTGTTTTGGTCGAAAACACAGAGAAAAAGACGTTAGCTCCTGAGTCAAACTCCTACAGGTAATCGGTGCTCCTTTTTTAAAAAACCTCAAATAAAAGTGTTTTTTTTTATTATTTTGATGGTTGTTTGAGTTGTGCATAGGAAGGAACTTCTCTATTTCTTTGATTAACACAGCTAATCAGTCTGGAGTGCAAAGCTTCCACCACCTCTCCCACTTTTCTGTTGATCATACGTTGTTGTTAGTTGCGAAGTCGTGTCCGACCCATCGCGACCCCATGGACAGCATTCCTCCAGGCCTTCCTGTTCTCTGCCATTTTCTGGAGTCCATTTAAGCTCACGCCTCCTGCTACAGTGACTCCATCCAGCCACCTCATTCTCTGTCATCCCCTTCTTCTATTGCCTTCCATCTTTATCAGCATCAGGCTCTTCTCCAGTGAGTCCTTCCTTCTCATTAGGTGGCCAGAGTACTTGAATTTCAACTTCAGGATCTGGCCTTCTAAAGAGCAGTCGGGGTTGATCTCCTGTAGGACTGACCGGTTTGATCGCCTTGCAGTCCAGGGGACTCACAGGAGTCTTCTCCAGCACCAGAGTTCATAGTTCCATAGATAATATAGAGGGACCCAGAAGGCAACTTGGGTGCTCTCCAGATGCTTGAGACCTCTACGCCCATCATCCACAGCTCTTGGGATGCAGCAGAAAGGGATTGTGGGAGCTAGAATAGTATAGTGGTTAAGCTTTCCAGAAGACTTGAGTTCAAGTCCTTGAGTAACGAATTCCAAGGGTGAGTTGGGGACAGTTTGTATTTCAGATCAAACAATTTCACAGGGTGGTAAAGATACAATAGAAAAAAATTCCTGTCCTGTTCACTGATTTGAAATGTCCAAAGAAAAGTGAACTAGGAATGTTTAGCGATGTGTTTGTGTGTGTGTGTGTGTTGAAATTATCTCAGGATTACGGATTTGAAAAAGTCTCTTATGCTGGCTGGGGATGGCAGGATTTATATAGCTGATGGAGGTGATGCCATATTATAGGTAGTCCTCAACTTACAACTATAATTGAGCTCATAATTTTGGTCATATGTCATGATGGTTCAAAAAGTGCATCAACATATGATCATGCCTGATCTGCAGCAGTCATTAAGTGAATGCCACAGTAGTTAAGGGACCGCATGGTTTGCTATGGGATGGGTTTTTTCCCCAGTAAACCCCAGTTTCCGACAAAAAAGATGTCGTAAATAACTGTGGGGTACTGCAAACAATTGTAAATGCAGGCTAGTTGCTGAGCCCCCAAAATGCAGCAGTGTGACCTGGGAGTGCTTCTTGATATAAAGGAGGACACCCAAGCAAAATTTTTGCCGATTCTCAAATTCATTGACATCTCCAAATGTTATTGCCTAGATGTGATTTTCATAGACAGTTTTATTAAAATGGGGTCCACAGACAAGAAAGTAGATCTGGAATTTAGCTGGGATTAGTAGCTTGCTGGGAGATGCTCTACGTCAGTGGTGGCGAATCTATGGCAACGGGTGCCAGAGGCGGCACTCAGAGCCCTCTCTGTGGGCACGCGCGCCGTCGCCCCAGTCCTAGGCCTTCAGCTGGGTTTTATAAAATCTTTTCGCTTTAGGTCTCAGCCGCCATGTACAAAAAAGGTTCAATCAATCAGTCAATTTCAACTTCTTGCGAGAAAAAAAAAAGATCTTGCAAAGTTGGAATTGATTGATTGAACTTTTTAGTCCCACCCAATCTTCCGTTAGCACTGCAGCCACGCCCACCCAATGGACCACACCCACCCAGCACCCAATGATACATAAGTGGGTTTTGGGTTGCAGTTTGGGCACTCGGTCTCTAAAAGGTTCGGTATCACTGCTCTAGGTCAGCAGTCCCCAAACCTTTACTGTTTGACAGCCTGGCCGGGGGGGGGGGGGGGGGAGAGAACTGGCCCCGACACACAGACAAGTCAAGTTGTGGGTGTGTGCACTCCAGCCAGCCATTCGCACAACCCGGTAGTGGGCCGAAGCCCGGGGTTGGGGACCCCTGGTTCAGGTTTCGGTTCTTGTCCTTGAGAAAATCCCAGTATGTACATACCCACTGATAAACGGTTAAACTCTAGGGCACAGCAGCAAAAAAATTAAAATAAGGGGACCTTGTAGAGCATGGATGTCAAACTCTTCATGTGACGTGTCATGACATATTGTGACTTTTTTTGCATTGCCAGAGCTGGGGTGGACGCAGCCTCCGCGTGCTGCCACCGGCCCCGTGGGCCAGCAGATGGACACCCCTGTTGTGGAGCTTCTATTGCAAAAGCCCAGATTATTTCCTTTATCCTTAATGACTAATTACTAAGATAACCATCTTTATTAGGAACAAGTCGGTTGACATTAAGATAAATTATTGAGAGAAATGGGGTCACTCAGCAGCTGATTCCGATTCAATGGCCCCGAGTTGATGGGCTGAATGCACGTCATCTTTTCCACGGAGTTTTCCGTCGAGTTCATCCGAGCTGCTTATTCTAGAGCTGCCATCAGGTCAGAGGAGAAGGATTCGGAGGCTTTGGGTTCCTTTTAGGGCAGCGGTTCTCAACCTGTGGGTCGGGACCCCATTTGGGGTCGAACGACCATTTCACGGGGGTCGCCAAACAATGCAGTCCGCCATTTTTTCCCCCTTTTCCTTGGCTGTGCTACTCCCTTTTATTCTATAGGCTTTTGAAAGCCAATAGAATAGACTCTCTTGAATAGAGTCTAATTCTATTGGCTTTCAAAAGCCAGTAGGAATTGTCCAGGCTGTCTCTGCCCTGCTGAGCCCGCCAAAAGTCGCATTCTGCAAACGGTGCTGCGAGTTGTCTGCAGCGAAGGTCAGCTGTCTGGAAGTTTCCACCCCTCCCTTCTGAGCAACTACTAAAAATGTAAGCAAAAGAGGGCCAGGGGTGGGAGGTAGGAGGCCGGCGGGCGCAGGGAGGGTTGCTGGCGCGCGTGGGGCCCGGCGGGTGCCTTACCTCCCTTGGGCTGGGTCAGCTGGTGACCCAGCCGGTGGTCGGCCTGTGCCGTCTCTGCCGCTTGCCAGCTATGCCTCGGCCGGCGCAGGGGGCGGCACCATACATGCACGGCGCTCCCGGGCAGGGAAAGTCCTTGACTTATGACCGGTTGGGTAGTCCTCGACTTACGACCGGTTGGGTAGTCCTCAACTTATGACCGGTTGGGGGTCGCGGCATTAAAAAGGTTGAGAACCACTGTTTTAGGGGAAGAGTCAGATTTGCCCTACTCTGTAAGCCCTGAGATTGATTTGTGTTTTTTGCAGGCAGCTGAAGCAAGCCGGTACTAAATGCAGAGGACTAGAATCTCCAGGGTTAACACAACACCCCCTTTTTCTCCCAAACCTTTTAGCACCAGCCACCACCACCCCCCACTCTGAGGCCTTGGTCAGCCCTGTTCTTCCACCCTGGCTTCCAGATGGCTTTTCCCCCCTCCAATAGCAGCGCTATAGATGTCTCTTGCCAGACACCCGGAGGATTACTCGGTGCCCGCTTGACGTGACCAAACGGAGAAGGTGCTAAGAAGGAAAGGCAATTCCAGGTTGATGGCCCTCGGCACAGGAGTCTTTCCGGAGGTCATAGAAGAGGAAGTTCAGTTTTCCTTGCAAAAGCTGCACATAGGTCCAGAAGACAGTTCTAAGATTCCTCGTGGAAATGAGTTTGGGGACGTTTTCTGGCCGTGTAGTTGTGCTTTGTTCCTAGGGCAAGAAAAGAAAGCAGTCAGATTGTAACCTTCACCTGGTCCAAAGCTGCTCTTGACAGTTTTGGAGCAAATTCTTGAAGAAAGTTAGCTGGGCCATTGCTCTAGCACAGGGCTAGGCAACCTTGGCTCTTTGATGACTCATGGACTTCAACTCCCAGAATTCCTGAGCCAGCCATGCTGAGGGGAAAGGGAGAGGTTTCCAAGCTGAGCCATGCTGGCTCAGGAATTCTGGGAGTTGAAGTCTGCAAGCCATAAAAGAGCCAAAGTTGCCTACCCCTGCTCTAGCACAAGGGTCTTCAAACTTGGCCCTTTCATGACTTGTGGACTTCAACTCCCAGAATTCCTCAGCCAGCATGTCTGGCTGAGGAATTCTGGGAGTTGAAGTCCACAAGTCATAAAAAGGGCCAAGTTTGAAGACTCCTGCTCTAGCAGTTTTTCAAACACGGCAACTTTTAAGATATGTAGACTTCAACTCCCAGAATTCCTCAGCCAGCATGCTAGGGTCCACACATCTTAAAAGTAGCCAAGTTTGGAAAATACTAGAGGTAGTCCTCGACTTACAGCCATTCATTTAGTGACCATTTAAAGTAACAACGGCACTGAAAGGTTACTTACGACCATTTTTCAGTTATTATATAACTCAGCAACTGCTTTCACTTAACCACTGTGGCAAAAAAAAGGTAAAATCTGTCTTGCCTGGCAATGGAAATTTTGAGCTCAATTGCGGTCGTACATTGTGGACTACCTATACTGGCAGTTGAGGGTAGGAAAGAATATTGTGAGCAAGGACACACGTTCAATTTTGCAGCTACTAAAATTGTTGGACCAAGGTCGTGGCATCCGGCCCCCTCAATTCCTGGCAAATAGATGGGGAAGAAATGGAGGTAGTGACAGATTTTATCTTCCTGGGCTCCAAGATCACCGCAGATGGGGACTGCAGCCAAGAAATTAAAAGACGCTTGCTCCTGGGGAGGAAAGCTATGGCAAATCTAGACAGCATACTAAAAAGCAGAGACATCACCCTGCCATCAAAAGTGCGTATAGTCCAGGCCATGGTTTTCCCAGTTGCAATGTATGGCTGTGAAAGTTGGACCATAAGAAAGGCCGAGGACCAAAGAATGGAGGCCTTTAAACTATGGTGCTGGAGAAGACTCCTGCGAGTCCCTTGGACTGCAAGGCGATCAAACCGGTCAGTCCTAGAAGAGATCAACCCCGACGGCTCTTTAGAAGGCCAGATCCTGAAGTTGAAACTCAAGTACTTTGGCCACCTAATGAGAAGAAAGGACTCACTGGAGAAGAGCCTCATGCTGGGAAAGATGGAGGGCAATAGAAGAAGGGGACGACAGAGAATGAGGTGGCTGGATAGAGTCACTGAAGCAGGAGGCGTGAGTTCCAATGGACTCCAGAAGATGGTAGAGGATAGGAAGGCCTGGAGGAACATTGTCCATGGGGTTGCGATGGGTCGGACACGACTTCGCAACTAACAACAACAACAAAGATTGTTGGATGAGCAGGTACAAAAACAGCCAGGGAAGTGATTGAAGCCTGGGAAAAAGACGGAGTGCTGATTTACCACCAGCCTATCCAGTACTTAGAAGGGGAGGGCTGGGCAGCACAAGCAAACAACAGCTAATGACTTAAAAGCCAGCCATCAACACACCCCAATCAGCATCTAAAAAGCCACTTACAACAGGCACTATAAATAATACACACACTCCAGCATGTATGTGAAAGCTCGGAAGACAAATCTCTGGTCCCAGTGACCGACCCAGATTGGATCCTCCAATATTATCATGTGACATGTAGATTTGCCTTCATTTGTGAATATCATTTGTTGTTATTAGTTGCGAAGTCGTGTCCGACCCATCGCGACCTTTTGAGGGAAGTTAGCCCAGAGAAGGAAATATTAAAAAGGCAGAAAAATGTATTTTTCCTCAAAAGGACTTTTTTAAAACCAAACCTGGTTCCAAATCGATCTCTCTGCCCCAAGCAAGAGCTAGCCCCATAGAAGTGCAGATGTAAAACCATCAGAAAGTTGAAGCCAGAGCAATCAAGACAAAGAGAAAATCTGCATGCCCCACCCAAACTCTAGGAGTCATGAGCCCCATCACCTGGGAAGCAGGATATGATAATAGGATTAAACCACAGATATCAAGGCCTAGACAAACACTCAGAAACAGCCTCAAGGTTCATGCCACAGGAACAGGAAACTATTCCAAACAAGGCTAGAGAGGGTATTAAAAAACCTACTGCCCATGAGCTCCCTCTCTTTTTCCTCTCTGCTCCTTGCAAGGACCATCTTTCTGCTTCTTCAATAAACTGTAACCTTCTTCCCAAAGCAGTCGCCATTTTGCTTATTTATCCCAGCTTGGATGAACCAGGATGAAGACTTACTTCTGACACCTTTATCTACGACTTTCTCTGTCTTCCCTTTCATCTCCATTCATTCCATCATTAAACAATACGGGACACATCACACGTTCTTCCTATTCAGGGTTGACTCACTAGCTGCTACCCAATTTACTTTCAGCTCATGGTTTATTTAAGTCAGATACCACCCTTCCTGCATTCGTCAATCACCAACAACTCCATGTTTTCGATTTCTGTAATTCTGTACATTCTCTAGATCAGTGGTTCTCAACCTTTTTAATGCCGCGACCCCCAACCGGTCGTAAGTCGAGGACTACTCAACCGGTCGTAAGTCAAGGACTACTCAACTGGTGCAGCACCGTTTGCAGAATGGGACTTTTGGCGGGCTCAGCAGGGCAGAGACAGCCTGGACAATTCCTATTGGCTTTTGAAAGCCAATAGAATTAGACTCTATTCAAGAGAGTCTATTCTATTGGCTTTCAAAAGCCAATAGAATAAAAGGGAGTAGCACAGCTAAGGAAAAGGGGGGGGAAATGGCGGACTGCGTTGTTTGGCAACCCCTGTGAAATGGTCGTTAGACCCCAAATGGGGTCCCGACCCACAGGTTGAGAACCACTGATCTAGATCCATATAGAATTATCTTTCTCAGCTCAGAGACTTCTCATGGTGTTGTGGCTTCTTCAGAGCCACCACCACCACCCCAAAAAAATTCTGGGATTGGCTCACCTGCCCTTGGAAGTTCCTTAAATGCAGAAGGAAGAAGTTGGCTTTCTCATGAAGCTGCTGAAGACGTATCAAGAGGCAACTCTCGTTCATTGATTGTTGGGCAACAGCTATGCCATCCATCAGCTTGATCAACGCTTGGAGGATTTCCTGTGTTTTGACTTCATTCTGCAACAGAATGAACATTCTGTAATTTTGCCATCTCGGTGTTTCAGTGTCTCTCAACCTTAGCAAATTTAAGATGTGTGGGCTTCAGCTCCCAGAATTTCCCTTTGCAGCTAAAATGATCAGTCCTACCCCTTGAATTTTAAGAAAATCCCTCATTCCAGTCTCACCTTTCCCAGTAAATAGAACAGTGTTTCTCAACCTTAGCAAATCTAAGGCATGTGGACTTCAACTCCAAGAATTCCCCAGCCAGTCATGCTTTGGGAGTTGAAGCCCACACACCTTAAATTTGCTAAGGTTGAGAAACACTGCTCTATTTACTGGGAAAGACAGGACAAGAATAGGGGATTTTCTTAAAATTCAAGGGGTAGGACTGATCATTTTAGCTTTAGTGCCATCAGCCTCCATGTTTTTTATTACAGCAGAAATTCAGCATCCAAAACAAAAATCATCACTAATCCATATAAGCTATTTGTCCGTGATGGCGAACCTATGGCACGCATGCCACAGGTGGCACACAGAGCCCTCTCTGTGGGCACGCACGCCGTCGCCCCAGTCTTCGGCCTTTAGCTGGGATTTATAAAACCTTTTCGCTTTAGGCCACCGCCGCCGTGTGCAAAAAAAAAAAAGTTCAATCAATCAATTTCAACTTCTTGCAGGAAAAAAAGATCTTGCAAAGTTGGAATTGATTGATTGAACTTTTTAGTCCCACCCAGTCTGCCGTTACCCCTGCAGCCATGCCCACCCAATTGGCCACACCCACCCAATTGGCCACATCCATCCAATTGGCCACACCCACCCAGTGGGCCACACCCACCTGGCACCTGATGATACATAAGTGGGTTTTGGGTTGCAGTTTGGGCACTCGGTCTCTAAATGGTTCGCCATCACTGCTATATGTCATGGTTCCAACAGATGAAACTCTTCCAAGAACTTCGAGGCATTGTTTACCTTAAAGAATCTTTATTCGAGTAGCAACACATCGGCACGTACATAGTCCGAGCCAAAATCTGACTTCCCCTCCCCTAAGCACACAGCATCAAAGCACAATTCCCTCCTCTAACTGAACCGTCATAAATCACATTCTCCAATTAGTTTGAAATGCTGGCTTTCCCACCAGTTCTACAACCTGCCATGTCTTATCATCTCTTATTTCAAAAAGCCTCAGGTTCTCACCCTTATACAGTATTGTTATGTCTAACTAAACTCCCATGCTCATTCCTCCTTCCCCCAGTATCATCTAATTCTAACTCTAAGAGTAAAACATAAAGCAGAGGAAAATGGCTGCATCTCCATATGTTGTCAAAGCAAGAATATTCGATGTTAGCAGCGTTGACACTATATACTAATCCATAGAATGTCATGCTTAACTACCACACTAGCTGCCATTAGCCCGCTAAGGTAGACCAGGCTAGGAAACCAAACTGATGCATGCTAATGTTACTTTTATTATAAGTTCTAAGTTTAAAAAACCTTGCAAATCTGAATGCATCTTCACCCTCTCGCCCTTTATCTGCATGAGAACTAGGAAAGGACTTGTTCTGAGATGCTTACTCCGTTTACCGTTCTGTCCTGGACTCAAATTTCTTTTACCTGAAGATTACCTTCATTAGAACTTATCCTGCTGTTCCTCAAGGTTATTTATGCTTCCCATTATATCTAATTCTGTTTCCCAACCTGGCAACTTTAAGATGTGTAGACTTCAAATCCCAGAATTCCCCAGCCAGTGTTTCAAGTTGGAAACACTGGTCCACTTGGCCCAGGCAGAGAGGACAACTGGTTTGAAAGAATAGTAAAAGAGGCCATCTATGTCAGAGGTCCCCAACCTTTGGGGCACCAGGGACTGGTTCCGTGGAGAGAGGTTTTTCTGTGGACCGGAGGGTGCGTGGTTTTGTGTGCTGCCTGCATTCTGAGGATGGGGCTTCGCTTGTTTGTGCAGACTGGTTGCTGGCATGCCGCGGCCCGGTACTAGTCCACAGACCGGGGGTTGGGGACCCTATGTTAATACTGAGCAGCTCTCTCTCTCCTAATCGGTGAAACAACCGGCCTCCAGAAGCTGTGGGTGCTCCAACACTGGAGGTTTTTAAGAAGAGACTGGACAGCCATTTGTCTGAAATGGTATCGGGTCTCCTGCTTGAGTAGGGGGTTGGACTAGATGCCCTCCAAGGTCCCTTCCAACTCTGCTATTCTGTTATTAGGATATGACACCACCTATCTCCTGTCTACAAAACAGTCCTTTCAGCAGTCCCAACCATTTGCACTCTTTCAGGTGATTCTGAGGATACATATAAACCCCCAAGTGGCCTCAACGACCCTCAGAAAGAGTGCCAATGACCAGATGACTGTAAAGAATATAAATCCTTCCATTCCCACCATTCAGTCTGAACTGAAGAAGCTTCGTGGATGAGAAGTGAAATATTTTCAAGGAAAAAACAAAGTCAGTTGTCTTTTGGAAAATCATCTTTGTGGCCCAAAACAGTGAATCCCAAAGAACCATGACTTCCATACGGCCTACATACTTACTGTCTTTGTTTTCCACACCCTGAGGTTCAACCCCACCAAGGGTAAATGCACAGGTTCCAGAAGCAATGGAAGTTCTTCACATTGGCTCTGCAGAGACAGAACAAAAGCAGAGGAAGATCAACTCAAGGATGGCTAAATTCCACTTTTGCCTTTCATTCACACCCCTTCCAGATAACAGAAATGCAAATATTATTATGGAGACTAAATTGTATGATGAACGACTATTGGAACTACAGTATGAATGTCTAGTGACTAATGAAGAGAAGAACCAGGGGTGATGTGATAGCAGTGTTCCAATATTGGAGGGGCTGTCACAGGGAAGAGTGGGGGTCAACCTACTCTCCGAAGAACGTGAAGGCAGGACAAGAAATCACAGTTGGAAACTAAGAAGGGATTTCCCGACAGTGACAACAATTAATCAGTGGAACAGCTTGCCACCAGAAGTTATGGGTGGCTCCAACACAGGAGGTTTCTAAGCAGAGATTGGACACCCATTTGACCAGAATAGCATAGGATCTCCTGCTTGAAAAGGGGATTGGATTAGAACACCTCCAAGATCTCTTCCAACTCTGTTATTCTGTTATTCTGTCCCCCAAAGCATCTGAAGCAGGCTAAGATCAAGATCGCTCAAAGTATTAGTACTACTTTATAAAGCCCTAGTATAGTGGTTCTCAACCTTTTTAATGCCGCGACCCCCAACCGGTCGTAAGTCAAGGACTGCTCAACTGGTGCAGCACTGTTTGCAGAATGGGACTTTTGGCGGGCTCAGCAGGGCAGAGACAGCCTGGACAATTCCTATTGGCTTTTGAAAGCCAATAGAATTAGACTCTATTCAAGAGAGACTATTCTATTGGCTTTCAAAAGCCAGTAGAATAAAAGGGAGTAGCACAGCTAAGGAAAAGGGGAAAAAATGGCGGACTGCGTTATTTGGCGACCCCCATGAAATGGTCGTTCGACCCCAAATGGGGTCCCAACCCACAGGTTGAGAACCACTGCCCTAGTAAGACCACACCTGGAATACTGCAGCCAATTTTGGTCACTATATCACAAAAAAGAGGTTGAGAGTTTGGAAAAAATTCAGAGAAAGGCAACTAAGATGATCAAAGGCCTGGAGAGCAAAACATACAAAGAACGGCTGCAGGACTTGGGTCTGGCCAGTCTAAAGAAAAGAAGAAATAGGGGAGACATGATAGCAGTGTTCCAGTATCTGAGAGGCTGCCACAAGGCGGGCGGGGGGGGGGCAGGTTGTTCACCAGAGCACCAGAGGGAAGGACGAGAAACAATGGTTGGAAACTGATCAAAGAGAGAAGCAACCTGGAATTAAGGAGAAACTTCCTGACAGTGAGGACAATACTAGTGGAACAGCTTGCCCCCAGAAATCGTGGGCGCTCCATCATTGGAAATTTTTAAGAAGAGACTGGACAATCATCTGTCTGAGATGGTTTGGGTTCTCCTGCTTGAGCAGGGGGCTGGACTAGAAGACCTCAAGGTCCCTTCCAGCTCTATTCTATTCAAGAAGGAGGAACTGGAGAAGATGGATTGATTATATTCAGAAGAAATATGAAATTGAAAAGTATTATCTTGCTTTTGAGGAGATTTTAGATAATTATTAGTAGCTTTAATTATATTATTATTATTGACTTAATTGGTTAATATTTGTATTGATAAAGAGTTAAAGTGTCTTATGGTTTTGATTGATAGTATAGTTGGTTTATGTTAGTTGGATTATATTTGTTTATTCTTTTGTTTTACCCTGTAATCAGCTCTGGGAAGTGGGGGGACGGGGGGAAGGGGTGGGGGGGTTATATTGTAATAAATTTATAAAACTTTTAATTAAAAAAAAAAGAAGGAGGAACCAGCTCTGTTCAAACTCAGCCCGCTTGAACAGACCAACAGAGGCTTTCTTACCAAGCTTTCTTCCATTTCCACAGCTTCAGCCACGTATTTCTGGATCAGTCGCCTGTCACATACAAGCTGTGTGGGCCACATCCCGGAGAGTCTCATCTGGAACAGGAATACAACGAAGACCAGCAGTCCTGGAGGAGACAAAATGAGACAGACCAGAGAAGGGCTCACTAACTATAGTTTGATGGTGGGTACTCTCACAAAATGGAAACTGCTGGCCTGATCCACAAATAGCTAAAGGGTACCGGTGCAAGCAGTCCCAAGCTTACATTTATTAGAAGACAAACCAATCATGGTGGTTTCCCATCAACAGGTGCTCTTCACCACAATATCACCACAACTGACTTTCGTCCGTTTCCATCGTTTTTTTCATGTGTTTTATTCTATTTTGTTTTCTGAGCCAGAAAGTATGGCTTCCCCACCCAATTCAGGGTCACTTCCCCACAATGTTGATCTTCTAAGAACACAGAGCTTCCTTGGAAATAAAAAGGATGCTTGCAAACTTCTCACTTTTTTAAAATAAATTATTAAAAATTCAACAAAGAAGATTCAGTCTGACAGGCCAGAGAGCTTGGTGGATGCCAAGAGAGATGGCCTTGAGGCTCCTGAGCAAAAAGCAGAATAGAAATCTAATCATCGCTCAGTCCTGATGTCCACTGGGGCCATTTTGCCATCTTCCAGGCAGGAGATTAAAGGCCATCAACTCTCATTAAATCTGCTTTCCAAACTTCAGGATCTTCATCGTCCAGGTCATAGAGATACAAGGGATTGGAGCCTAGAAGGGACTGGGCAAGGGCCTAGACTAGAGCCAGGGGTAGGCAACCTTGGCTCTTTTGTGACTCATGGACTTCAACTCCCAGAATTCCTCAGCCAGCCATGCTGAGGGGAACGGGAGAGGTTTCCAAGCTGAGCCATGCTGGCTCAGGAATTCTGGGAGTTGAAGTCCACGAGTCATGAAGGGGCCATAGTTCCCCATGCTGGCTCAGGAATTCTGGGAGTTGAAGTCCACAAGTCATAAAAGAGCCAAGGTTGCCAATCCCTGGCCTAGAGGGATCACATGAGGCCTGTTTAGACTAAGGCAGTGTTTCTCAACCTTAGCTACTTTTAAGACAGGGAATTCTGGGAGTTGAAGTTCACAAGTCTTAAACTTGCCCAAGATTGAGAAAACTGGAATAGAATAGAATAGAATAGAATAGAATAGAATAGAATAGAATAGAATAGAATAGAATAGAATAGAGCTGCGAGGGACCTTGAAGGTCTTCTAGTCTAGCCCCCTGCAGAAGAACCTATACCATCTCAGACAAGTAACTGTCTAGTCTCTTCTCAAAAATCTCCAGTGATGGAGCATCCACTAAGAAGACAGCTAAGCCTTTGGGTCAGGATGATACAGAAAGCAAGGATAAATGGTTTTAATTGCCATCTGATTCTGATATTTCCTTTTAGTCTCCTTCTTTTAGTAAAAGTAATCCTGTAGTAAACTTTCCTTAGAGTCAAACTCAATTTCCTGAGGATTGGGGGAGGGGGAGGGGAAGCAGATTCACACAGTTCTTTTCCTCAACACCACAGAAGAGATTTAGTCTGAGATGCTTTCACTTTCACTGTCTAGCTGACAGCCCTGGGATCTCCTGGTGGTGTACCATCAAACTACTTTTGCCTCACATTTTGAGGTAGCCCAGATTGTTTGGGGTTAGACATAATCTTAAATGTATATTAAAAGGCAAAAAAATCAGAAGTGGGAGAGAATTTCCCCTCCCACCCCATCAAACGTGAATGTAAAACCACAGTCCTATATTTTAAGTACAATCCTATTTAATTTAGACTGCACACTTCAAAAAATCCAGGATTAATTTTGCTCAATATTGAGTCAGATGCATCTAGTTTCAAACCCAAAAGACCAGTTATGTAATCACCGTGGCTCTCTGCTCAGCTTGGGATAATGGATACTGTAGTTTGGCAGTCAAGGCCACAAAGGTTGTAATAGTAGTAAAGTTGGAAGGGACCTTGGAGGTCATCTAGTCCAACCCCCTGCTCAGGCAGGAAACCCTACACCATTTCGGACAAATGGCTGTCCAGTCTCTTCTTAAAAACTTCCAGTGTTGGAGCATTTACTGCTTCTGGAGGCAGGCGGTTCCACTGATTAATTGTTCTCACTGTCAGGAAGTTTCTCCTTAGTTCTAGGTTGCTTCTCTCCTTGATTGTTTTTGACCACTCAGGGAGTGGTTAAAAAAGTCAAGATGGCGGCCACAACAAATACAACCAAAGCTCTGTCTGGTTTCTCTCCCTGCAAGAAAACAGGAAGGGCTTCTAATACAGGTAGTCCTCAACTTACGACCGTTTGTTTAGTGACCGTTCGAAGTTACGGCAGCACTGAAAAAGTAACTTATGACTGTTTTTCACACTTATGGCCATTGCAACATTGCCACGGTCAAAATTCAGATGCTTGCAACTGGTTCATATTTATAACAGTTGCAGTCCCTCAGATCCCGTTTTGCGGCCTTCTGACAGGCAAAGTGCCTGAGGATGCCAGATTCATCTAACAATTATTAATTTAACAACTGCAGTGATTCACTTAACATCCGTGTCAAAAAGGGTCGTAAAATGGGGCCAAATTCACTTAACTGTCGCTTAGCAACAGAAATTTTGGGCTCAATTGAGGTCGCAAGTTGAGGACCACTTGTGCATCATTGAGGCCTCCAGGTTGACCTTTTGGGCCATCCTCTGTAGAAAGCCCTGCAGAGCAGTTGGGCTTAAACCTCCATCATCCCCAGCTGAGGTGACAGCATGAACAGGAGACAGATCCCATCTTCGGCCAAGCTGAATTACAGATCCCTGATTCTACCCAAACCTAATTTCCCAGATTCCAGAGGGAAACCCGTCCTCACTTGGACATTTCTTATCAAGTGTTAACATTCATTCTAGGAGTGTGATGGGTGGGGGGAGAAGGTAGTTCTCCTTGCTCAGACCTCGTCCTGAGTTGCTAACCATCTAGCCTCAGCTCATGTGCAGAGTGCCTCTCCCTTTGCACGCATCGCTAGGCTTTCAGGGAAGAGCTGATTCCCAGCCCTTCCATTAACCCTCCTTCCCTCCCTAATACTTTGGGGTGCCCTGCCCTGCCCTGCCCTGCCCTGCCCTCTCCTGCCAGGCTGGCACTCACGGTTCAGCTCCATGCCCCCCTGTCCATCTGGTCACCTCCTCGCTCCGCTGGGGGACAGCAGCCGCTCTCCAGCCCCTGCCTGGCGTCCATTGACGACGGCTTGACCATGCAACCCGGGGAGGCTGCTGCGGGGAGCCTGTTGGCTTCTCTTGCCAGGCTCTCTGCTGCGCAGTTCCAGCTTTCCAAGCCAGCCTTGCGTCGTCGCTTCCTGTTGTGCTGCTGCTACTGGTGGGGGTGACCTCTGGGCCAAGGCACTAGCGAAGGGAACACGGCCGTCCGTCAGGAAAGCTTCTCACTTCCAGATATTTCCGACTTGGCTCACAGATGACGGAGGAGGCCAGCACAGGCTACGAGCCACCAGAAGCCATCCGCAGGGATCTTGCAAACACGCTCCAGCCCCAGGCTTTCAGGCACCCCATGCAGCCCCCAGGGCCCTGGAGAAAGGCAGAGAGATTTGGGGTGCCCAGTATGGCCGCCATAATCCCATGGGACATGGGTGCCACTTATGGATGTCCCCAAAGCTGGATCTTAGCCTGGCTGCCTCTCATTGGGATCGACCAAATCCAGAATGTCTGGAACAAAAGAACACAAATCTCTTAAACAAAACCTCAGGGTGGTTTAAATCAGTGGTTCTTAACCTTTTTGAATGAATCGTCCCCTTGAGCCAATGAGGAAGTTGTCATCGCCCCCCTCTCAATCACAACATAGGAAATAATTCTTCGATTTATGCAAACACTTCTTTTGTTTTCTTTAAAATTGCCATCTGGACATATCGATGCAAATAATTTATTTCCAGTCTTTTCCCCATATCTCAACTGTGTGAAAAAGTTTGGTGCCACCCGTCACTTTATTCCCAAACTTTCCTTTTGAAAGCCACCTTACTTCACTGTACGAAAAAATCTCAAAAGTGTCCCCAAAACTTCTCGCTCCATCGCCCCCATATCGCCCCCTTTTTGTTCCATTGCCCCCCTGAAAAATGGAATCACCCCTTGGGGGGGCGATATCGCCCAGGTTAAGAACCACTGGTTTAAATGAACATCCAGGTGTTTTACTAACTGAACCAATTAGGATATTACAGATAATCCTCAACGTATGACCACAGCTGAGCCCAAAATTTATCTTGCTAAGCAAGACAGTTATTAAGTGAGTCTGGGCCCATTTTTCTTGCCACATTTGTTAAGTGAATCACTTCAGTTGTTAAGTTAGTAACATGGTTGTTAAGTGAATCCGATTTCCCCATTGACTTTATCGGAAGATCACAAAAGGGGATCACGTGTTCCCGGGGCGCTGCAACCGTCATAAATACGAGGCCGTTGCCAAGTGTCTAAAATTTGATCAGGTGACTGTGGGGATGCTGCATGGGTCGTTAAGTGAAAAACGATCATAAGTCGCTTTCTTCTGTGCTGTTGCAATTTTGAATGGTCACTAAACGAACGGTTGTAAGTCAAGGACTACCTGTATTTAAATAAACTGGATATTATCCAGGAGATGATTAAGATTTGGAGAGCCCCTCTGGGCCAATCTATAAAGAGCTAGCTGGTAGATTCACACAAGATGTGAAACCTAGTTAATGCTAACCTTGGTTTGTTTGCTCTATGGGACAACATGTAATGCAAACATCATCTGTGGGACAAAATGGCAGCTGCAACAGTACAATCAATTTGCCTAGTTTTGCACATAAAAACCAGGACAAGCTCCATTCGTACTATTATGGCCACCATCTCAACTTTGGATGACCCTAACTGTAGTCTATTTAGGTAGCTCATGGTTTCATATATTGTGCCAGTCCAGAAAATGGCTTTAGAATAGAATTATTTATTAACCAAATGTGATTGGATACACCAGGAATTTGTCTCCGGTACATAAGCTCTCAGCGTACATACTGATAAGGATAACAATAATAATTATTGCTTTATTTACTAATTAATATACATCTAGGTCACCATGATGTAAAAAAGATATTAAGACTCTAAAAAGAATGCAGAGAAGAACAACAAAGATGATTGGGGGACTGGAGGCTAAAACATAGAAGGAACGGTTGCTGGAATTGGGGATGTCCAGTTTAATGAAGGGAAGGACGAGGGGGGACATGATAGCAGTGTTCCAATATCTCAGGGGCTGCCACAAAGAAGAGGGAGTCAAGCTATTCTCCAAAGAACCTGAAGGCAGGACAAGAAGCAATGGAATGAAACTAATCAAGGAGAGAAGCAACCTAGAACTAAGGAGAAACTTCCTGACAGAACAATTAACCAGTGGAACAACCTGCCTCCAGAAGCGGTGAATGCTCCAACACTGGAAGTTTTTAAGAAGAAACTGGACAGCCATTTGTCCGAAATGGTATAGGGTTTCCTGCCTGAGCAGGGGGTTGGACTCGATGTCCTCCAAGGTCCCTTCCAACTTTATTATTATTATTATTATTAATAATAATAATAATAATAATCCTTGACTTATACCATGATCATTTGAAGCTATGGGTGCAGTGTCCCGCGGTCACATGAGCCCCTTTTGCACCCTTCTGACAAGCAAAGTCAATGGGGAAACCAGATTCACTTAACAACTGTCTTCCTAATCTAACAGCGGCAGCGATTCATTTAACAACCATGGCGAGAAAGGTCATAAAATGGGGCAAAACACACTTAACGAGTGTCTCATTTCGCAACAGAAATGTTGGCCTCCATTGCGGTCGTAAGTCGATGACAACCTGTACAATGGCAAACGCAAAGGCCAGTGCGCCAATCAGGTATGCTTCCCCCATGTTATTATCCTGACAGTTGCTCCCTTGTGCACTTGACACCCTTGGCCAGGGACCTTCAAACTTGGCCCTTTTATGACTTGTGGACTTCAACTCCCAGAATTCCTCAGCCAGGCATGCGTTGAAGTCCACAAGTCATAAAAGGGCCAAGTTTGAAGACTCCTGCCCTTGGCAGGGGTGGGATTCAGCCAGTTCGCCCCACTTCGGCAGAACCGGTAGCTAATGTCTTTGTTGCCCAGGCCCAGAATGAACTTCCGGAAGCAGCATCCAGACAGAGAACCGGTTGTCCACATATGTGAATCCTACCACTGACCCTTGGACTTCCTGTGCAAACACATCGAAGGCTCCATCTCGGCAGTTGACCCTGTCTAGCAAACACCGATCTTGGTCCTGGCTCTGAGACTTGACGGATCACTGGGAGATCCGGGGTGAAATGAGGGGATAGCCAGAAGCCTCGATGACACTCCAGGACTGGGAGAGGAATGGAAAGGAAACGGGAAGAAGGGAGAGCTGATGATAAGGAAGGTCAACTAACTCATCCCGGCAACCTGAAGCTGCCGAAGCTCACGTATGCAGCTGGGCGCCGGCCAGAGTCCCTCTGGATCATGTGAGATGACTTTTCCCAGTCATAGTAAAAGCTAACAAGCGGGATTTCCGAGCAAACCACGGGCTTTGGTGGGAAATCAGCTTGTTCCAGCTGCAGGAAGCCGGCGAAACACTTCATTCCTGTGAGATTCTTTGGAAATTTGACTGAAGACCTCAGGGTGACTAGACAGAGAACAGTGAGTTGGCTCCTGTCAAAGTAGAATCTCATGCAGTGGTGGCATTCAGTCGGTTCACACCAGTTCGGCAGAACCGGTAGCTAATTTCTTTGTTGCCCAGGCCCAGAATGGACTTCCGAAAGCGGCATCCACACAGAGAACCGGTTGTTGACATATTTGAATCTCGTGGCACTTTAAAGGCTGGCACATCTCTTTGGGGCAGATGGCCAGTTTTTCTCAATCTGGGTCCAGCAGATATGGAAGAGGGTAATATTTATTTATTTATTTATTTATTTATGAGACTTATATATCGCTTTAAGTGCAAGCACTCTCTAAGCGGTGTACACCAGTAAGCAATGTATGTATGTATATATTTACATTGCCCCCAACAATCTGGGTCCTCAGTTTACCTACCTCGGAAGGATGGAAGGCTGAGTCAACCTTGAGCCGGTGAGATTTGAACCGCTGACCTGTTGAACACAGTCAGCTAACGTGGCCTGCAGTACTGCACTCTAACTGCTGCGCCACCTCGGCTCAATATAAGGAACGGTTGCTGGAATTGGGTATGTCAGTGGTGGCGAACCTATGGCACGCATGCCAGAGGCGGCACCCAGAGCCCTCTCTGTGGGCACGCGCGTCATGCCCCGGAGATGGCAACCGTCCCTCTTCAACCAGCCCGCCTGCTAACTCGATGAGGTCCCACATGGCCGGATGCATCCCAGCACCCATGTGCTTGCTGGCCTCTGTGTGCGGAGTCCAATGGTGTCAGGCAGCAGCCGCCCTGGCCCCTGCCTCACTTTGCCCTGTGACAATGACACCCCCGCCCTGCCTTGCCTTGCCTCGCCTCACCCTGCAGGACGAGCATCCTGCCCACCGCCCCACCTGCCAGAGACCCCCTGGATCTCCCCCAATCCTGCCCAGACCCCACAGGCATCCCTCCCCACGAGCAACATCGAGGTGATCATGCCCACCTTGGCCACACCCACCCAATCTGCCATGACCACAGCCACACCCACCCAGTGGGCCACGCCCACCTGGCACCCAGCGATAAATAAGTGGGTTTTGAGTTGCAGTTTGGGCACTCCGTCTCTAAAAGGTTTGCCATCACTGGAGTCTGTCTAGTTTAATGAAGAGAAGGACGAGGGGAGACATGATAGCAGTGTTCCAATATCTCCAATATTCTCCCCAAAGAAGAGGGAGTCAAGCTATTCTCCAAAGCGCCTGAAGGCAGGACAAGAAGCAACGGATGGAAACTAACCAAAGAGAGAAGCAACGTAGAACTAAGGAGAAACTTCCTGACAGTTAGAACAATTAACCAGTGGAACAACCTGCCTCCAGAAGCGGTGAATGCTCCAACACTGGAAGTTTTTAAGAAGAGGCTGGACAGCCATTTGTCCAAAATGGTGTAGGGTTCCCTGCCTGAGCAGGGGTTGGACTAGATGACCTCCAAGGTCCCTTCCAACTTTATTATTATTATTATAAGCAAGTCCTTGACTTACCATTCACTTAGCGACTGTTCAAAGATACAACAGCCCTGGAAAAAAAAAACAATGATAAGTGTTTTTCATGCTTAGGACTGTTGCAACATCCCTGCAGTCATGTGATCAAAATTAGGACACCACTGGCTCGCATGTATGACGGTTGCAGTGTCCCGGAATCATGTGGTCACTTTTGGTGACCTTCTGACAAGCAAAGTCAATGGGGGGGGAACCAGATTCACTTAACAACATCACTCAGTTAACAACTGCAGTGGTTGGCTTAACCACTGGAAAAAATGGGGCAAAATTCACATAATGACTGTCTTGCTTAGCAACAGAAATTTTGGGCTCAGTTGTGGTCCTAAGTCGAGGACTGTACTTTTGTTGCAACGTACCAAGGACAAAATGCAATTGGCATTTTTAACCTTCCTAGCTGACTTCCCACAAGCAAAGTCAATGGGGAAAACCGGAATTGCTTAATGACGTGATTCAACCGAAGGACCATGGCAGAAAAGATTGTAAAATCAGATACGACTGAGTTAAAATCCTGATTGTGGTTGTAAGTCAAAGACTATCTGTAGCCTGCTCTTGCTTACCTGACAGGGGAGCAGAATGTTGTTTAGTGGACAATCACTTGACCATGAGCCAGCCGTGTGCAGCAGCAGCAGCCAAAAAAGCTAATACAATCCTGGGTTTCACAAACAGAGGCATAGAATCAAGATCAGGTGAAGTATTAGTACCGCTTTACAAAACTCTAGTAAGAACACACCTGGAATACTGCAGCCAATTTTGATCACCATATCACCAAAAAAGATGTTAAGAGTTCAGAAAAAATTCAGAGAATTTGGAAACCAAAACATACGAAGAATGGCTGCAGGACTTGGGTTTGGCTAGTCTAAAGAAAAGAAGAAATAGGGGAGACATGATAGCAGCATTCCAGTATCTGAGGGACTGCTACAAAGAACAGGAGGTCAAACTATTCTCCAAAGCACCAGAGGGCAGGACAAGAAACAGTTGGAAACTGACCAAAGAGAGAAGCAATCTGGAATTAAGGAGAAACTTCCCGACAGTGAGGACAATCAACCAGTGGAACAGCTTACCCCCAGAAATTGTGGGCGCTCCATTACTGAAGATTGTTAAGAAGAGGCTTGAGATTCACCTATCTGAAACGGTATAGGTTCTCCTGCTTGAGCAGGGGGGCTGGACTAGAAGACCTCCAAGGTCCCTTCCAGCTCTATTCTATTCTAATCTGATTGCAGTATCACAGGAAGACAGCAGAGGGCAGCAAAACAATGCTGTTTTCAAGGGAGGAACAACTGGAGAGGCAATTTTCTTTCAAATTGGCAAGTAATCTTGAATAAGTTAAGCTCCAATTTGTGAACAGCAATTTCATGAAAAGTTGATGCATGCGGTCCTTTCTTTAATCATTTCTCATTGTCTCTTTTTTTTATCCTCCAGCTGCTGTCGAATTAGAAAATTGTAATGTTCCCCAATCTCCTGGTGACTTCATGGACATCTGGAAAAGTTTCCCGACAGAAGTATTGAAGTAATTTAACAGAATAACGGAAGGAACCTTGGAGGTCTTCTAGTCCAACCCCCTGCTCAAGCAGTAGACCCTATACCTTTTCAGACAAGTAGCTGTCTAATCTCCCCTTAAAAAATTCCAGTGTTGGAGCACCCACAATTTCTGGAGGCAAGCAGTTCCACTGGTTAATTGTTCTGTCAGGAAATTTCTCCTTCTTATCCCACATTCTGGTGCTCTGGAGAATAGGTTGACATTCTTTGTGGCAGTCCCTCAAATACTGTAACACTGCTATGTCATCCCTAGTCCTTCTTTTCACTAGACTAGACATACCCAATTCCTGCAACCATTTTTCGTATGTTTTAGTGTCCAGGTCCCTAATCATCTTTGTTGCTCTTTTTTACACTCTCTACATCAGTGGTTCTCAACCTTTTTAATGTCGCGACCCCCAACCGGTCGTAAGTTGAGGACTACTCAACCAGTCGTAAGTTGAGGACTACTCAACTGGTACACCACCGTTTGCAGAATGGGACTTTTGGCGGGCTCAGCAGGGCAGAGACAGCCTGGACAATTTCTATTGGCTTTTGAAAGCCAATAGAATTAGACTCTATTCAAGAGAGTCTATTCTATTGGCTTTCAAAAGCCAATAGAATAAAAGGGAGTAGCACAGCTAAGGAAAAGGGGGGGAAAATGGCGGACTGCGTTGTTTGGCGACCCCTGTGAAATGGTCGTTCGACCCCAAATGGGGTCCCGACCCACAGGTTGAGAACCATTGCTCTACATCTTTTGTATAATATGGTGAGCAAAACGAGATGCAGTGTTCCAAGTGCAATCTTACTAAGACTTTATAAATTTGGCACAGTCCATCTTCCAAAACCACGTCTCTCAATTTCAGCAACTATAAAATGTGTGGACTCCAACTCCCAGAATCCCCCAGCCAGTGCAGAGCTTTATTATTATTGTTGTTGTTGTTGTTTTGTTTATTATTGTTGTTGTTATATTATTATTATTATTATTATTATTATTATTATTATTATTATTATTATTATTATTATTATGGATCATCGCACAGTCAGCCAGATGTTCAGACTGGATTTGGCATTTTGTCTACCTATCGAGTCCTTACCCAGGACCTGGGATAGGCAGATGTGGATGTTTGATGGTATTACAGATATCGTCGCAGGATGGAAGCAGTTCCTAGTAAGGCCGCTTTTTGCAATTGACTAATAGCGAATTTGTCAATGCCAATGGTGTTCAAGTGGTACTCCAGTTGTTTTGGGATTGCACCCAAGGAGCCTATTACTATTGGTACTACCCTTGCTTGCTTTTGCCACAGTCTTTCTATTTCTATTTGTAGGTCTTTGTATTTGTTATCTTCTCCAGTTCTTTCTCGTCTATTCTGCTGTCTCCAGGCACTGCCACGTCCACTATCCAGACTTTTTTGTCTTTCTTATCGACAATTGTTAAGTCTGGGGTGTTAGGTTGCAGGTGCTTGTCTGTTTGAATTCTGAAGTCCCAGAGCAGTTTAATTTTATCATTTTCTATGACTTTCTCTGTTTTATGATCCCACCAGTTTTTGCTTACAGACAAATGATATTTTTTGCAGATCTTCCAATGCACCATTGTTGTTACTTTGTCATGCCGCTGCTTGTAGTCAGTCTGTGCAATCTTCTTGCAACAGCTTACCAGGTGGTCCACTGTTTCTTCAGATTATTATTATTATTATCGATCATCGCACAGTCAGCCAGATGTTCAGACTGGATTTGGCATTTTGTCTACCTATCGAGTCCTTACCCAGGACCTGGGATAGGCAGATGTGGATGTTTGATGGTATTACAGATATCGTCGCAGGATGGAATCAGTTCCTAATAAGGCTGCCTTTTGCAATTGACTAATAGCGAATTTGTCAATGCCAATGGTGTTCAAGTGGTGCTCCAGTTGTTTTGGGATTGCACCAAGGAGCCTATGACTATTGGTACTACCCTTGCTTGCTTTTGCCACAGTCTTTCTATTTCTATTTGTAGGTCTTTGTATTTTGTTATTTTCTCCAGTTCTTTCTCTTCTATTCTGCTATCTCCAGGCACTGCCACATCCACTATCCATACTTTTTTGTCTTTCTTATCGACAATTGTTAAGTCTGGGGTGTTATGTTGCAGGTGCTTGTCTGTTTGAATTCTGAAGTCCCAGAGCAGTTTAATTTTATCATTTTCTATGACTTTCTCTAGTTTATGATCCCACCAGTTTTTGCTTACAGGCAAATGATATTTTTTGCAGATCTTCCAATGCACCATTGTAGCTACTTTGTCATGCCGCTGCTTGTAATCAGTCTGTGCAATCTTCTTGCAACAGCTTACCAAGTGGTCCACTGTTTCTTCAGCTTCTTTGCATAGGCGGCACTTACTGTCTGTTGCTGTCTTCTCAATTTTGACTTTGTATGCATTTGTCCTTAAGGCTTGGTCTTGTGCAGCCAGAATTAGTCCCTCGGTCTCTTTCTTCAATTTTCCTGCTCTTAGCCATTGCCAGGTTTTATTATTATCTGCTTTCCCAGCTATTTTTTTCATGTATTGGCCATGTAGTGCTTTGTCTTCCCATGCCTCTATTCTGTTCTTCATTTGGTCTTTCTTGTAGGCCAGTTTGGTCTCTCCAGTAGTTAGTAAGCCTTCCTGATATACTAATTTCAGTGCATCTTCATCATTGTTCTTCAGATATTCTTCCAAAGCCATTTTTTCTTCTTCAACCATCTGATGTACTTGTAGCATTCCACGCCCACCTATTTGCCTTGGTAGATAAAGTCTATCAATGTCACTGCGTGGATGAAGGGCATGATTCATTGTCATTATTTTTCTGGTCTGCCTATCCATTGCTTTTAGTTCTGCTTGAGTCCAGTCCACTATTCCAGCTGTGTACCTAATGACTGGGATTGCCCAGGTGTTGATTGCCTTTATGGTATTTCCTCCATTGAGTTTGGATTTTAAGATCTTCTTCACTCTCTTGATGTATTCACCTCTAATCTTTTTCTTGACTTCAGTGTGCTTGATGTTGTCAGCTTGAAGGATACCCAAGTATTTGTAGTACTCTTCCTCATCCAGACTCTTAATGTTATTTTCGTGGGGCATCTTGATTCCTTCAGTTTTCATTATTTTTCCTTGTTTGATAGTAAGTGTGGCACATTTGTCCAAGCCAAACTCCATTACAATATCTTGGAGTGTTGAGCAGTGATTCTATTTCAGATGATGTTTTTCCATACAGCTTCAGATCATCCATATAAAGGAGGTGGGATAGTCTAGCAGATGTTTTTGATGTTTGATAGCCATGTCCTGAGTTATTCAGTATTGTTGACAGAGGAAACAGTGCAATAACAAATAGTAATGGTGATAATGAATCTCCTTGAAATATTCCTCTCTTGATATTAACCTCTCCCAGCCTCTCACCATTGATCTGCAACTGTGTCTTCCATTGTGCCATCGATCTTTGCACAAATTTTCTGATGTTTCTACTGACTCCTGTTATTTCTAGGCACTTTATTATCCAATCATGTGGCAGAGAGTCAAATGCCTTTTTGTAGTCAATCCATGCCACATTCAGGTTGGTCTTCCTTCTCTTGCAGTTTTCCAAGATCATTTTGTCTATTAGGAGTTGATCTTTTGTTCCTCTGCTATTGGGGCGGTTTCCTTTCTGCTCAGGTGGAAAGAGATTGTTTTCAACTAGATGCTGTTGCACTGCATCAGCTACTACACCAGTTAGTAATTTGAAAGTTGTTGGTAAGCAGGTAATTGGCCTGTAGTTACCTGGTGTTGCCCCTTTTGCTGGATTTTTCATTATTAGGTAGGTTTTCCCAGTTGTTAGCCACTTTTCAATTTCTCCTCCTTGTAGTATATTGTTGAACTGCTTGGCAATGAGTGGGTGTATAACAGTTAGATGTTTCAACCAAAACCCATGCAGTTCATCTTCACCTGGTGCTGACCAATTTTTGATTTTCTTTGCTCTTTTTTCTACCATTTTTGTTGTTATTACTAGTTCTTTCATTTCAACTTCTGTTTTATTTGCATCCACCTCTTTTAACCAAGCCGCATCCTTGTTGTATTTCTTTGGGTTATCCCATATCTGCTTCCAGAACTGCACTGTTTCTTCCTTGTCAGGTACTGACTGATTCCTTGCAGTTTCTCCATTGATGGATTGGTAGAAACGTTTCTGATTGGATTGAAATTGGAGGTTCTGCCTATAGTTTGCAATTCGAGCTTCATATCTACTGATTTTCCTGGCTATAGCTGTTATTTATTGCTTTATTATTTCCAGTGCTTCCTTGATCTTCCTTGTTTCTAAGTGGTATTTCTTGATTAGGTATTCTTTGGTCTTCTTGTTCTTCAGCTTCTTTTCTTTCATCTGTTCTAGCTTGCTTGCATGCGATCTTAACTTGCTGATCTTATTTTCTAGTCTAACCTTCCATTTTTCTGGTGCACTGTTTGTTTGTTTTTCTTTTTTGTTGATTTTGCATCCCAGGTATTCTGTTATAACTGCAGCTGTGCTGTACATTAGTTGGTTTGTTTCTTGCAGTGAATTGGTGCTTATACTTGATATTGCAGTATTTGCATCTTTTAATGCTTGTGCTAGCTGTTTCTTTGGAACAAGCTTCAATGCAGGTAGCCTTATTCTGTTGTTTTTGTGCTGTTCTAGATGCTCAGTTATTCTTTGTTTCAATTCTTTTATTTCTTTAGTTAGAGGGTTTTGTTCTTCCTGAGGAAGAGGTGCCTGGTTTCCAAATGAGAACAGTTGTATATCTCTGCTGGATTCCTTCACTGCCAACTCCCCCTGGTTTGCCTCTACATTCTGAATTACTTCTGGTAAGGCTTTGATTTCTTTGCCCTGGGTAAACCTTTGCAGTTCATCCAATTCTGTTTCTGTGAATACTTTATTTCGTATTATAAATCGGCGTTGATCTGCTAGTCTCTGTTCTGTTATTTCTGATTCTGGATGTTGTTCTTTCCAGAACTGGTGCATTCGTTTTAGATATCTTCTTCTTGTTGGACTTGATCTGTAGTAACAGATCATTATTTCTTTGTTTTCCATCACTGTGTATCTGCGACGGGTAAACACCTTTTCTTCCAGTAGTTCTGCAGCTGCTGGCCCTGGTTGCTCAGCCAACAGTCCTGAGTCCTGTAACCCATTTTTCACCAGATATCCAGGAACTCCAATATCTAGCGCGGACCTTGTTAACCCGGGCGACATCCGAGCCGGTATGGCATTCTGAAATTTACGTCTCACCATATTTTTTATGGAAGAGACACTCTTTGTCTGACTCCTCTGATGAGACCTGTCCAGTATGGTTGAACCTCTGGCATAGCTCTCATCTTCCTCAGAGTACACAAGCCCCACAACCAAATCAAGGTAGTGCCTCACTGGGGGTTATTATTATTATTATTATTATTATTATTAGTAGTAGTAGTAGTAGTAGTAGTAGTAGTAGTACTAGTAGTAGTATTTCAGATTTGAAGAGTTTGTCCAGGAAAGTCACAGAGCCTTCTTGGTAGTTTTGACTGATCTTGGAAAGCTAAGCAGGACTTAGGTATGAAATCCCAGGAATCAAGATCAGGCTAAGTATTAGTACCATTTTACAAAGCACTACTAAGACCACACCTGCAACAAAACTGCAACAAATTTGGTCACCATACTACAAAAAAAAAAAATGTTGAGACTTTGGAAAAAGTTCAGAGAAGAGCAACTAAAATGATCAAAAGCCTGGGGACTAAAACATACGAAAAACGGCTGCAGGACTTGGGTTTGGCTATTCTAAAGAAAAGAAGAAATAGGGGAGACATGATAGCAGTGTCCCAGTATTTTAGGGGCTGCCACAAAGAAGAGAGGGACAAACTATTCTCCAAAGCACCAGAGGGCAGGACAAGAAACAGTGGATGGAAATTAATCAAGGAGAAAAGCAACCTGGAATTAAGGAGAAATTTCCTAACAGTGAGAACAATCAACCAGTAGAACAGCTTACCCCCAGAAATCGTGGGTGCTCCATCACTGGAGGTTTTTAAGAAGAGGCTGGACAGTCACCTGTTTGAGATGGTATAGGTTTTCCTGCTTGAGCAGGGGGCTGGACTAGAAGACCTCCAAGGTCCCTTCCAGTTTTATTCTATTTCTCTCTCTATTTCTCTCTCTCATATATATATATATGTGTATATGTATATGTGTGTGTATGTATGTATGTGTATATATATATATATATATATATTTCTTAGTTCCTACTTTCCTGCCATTTTTTGAAATGGCAATTATAATGGAATAATGCATAAAATAAATGGAATAGTTTATATCATTGTTCCCTCCCCATCCTTTGTGATTTTCACAGACTAAAAGACCTGAAAAAAAGGGAAATTCTTAGCTTCCACCCCCCCCCCTACTATTTTCTGAAAATCAGAAAATAAATCGCATCTTTTCACATCTTATCACCTGTTAATGCCAGCATCTCAAACAGCAATTAAGGGTCCAGCTGCATCCATCCTAAAGCTGGCTGCCGTTGATTGGCTACTAATTGGCATCACAACTCCTGGGGAGAAAAGCAAAGACAGCTGTTAATGATCTGGAGATTGATTTATACCTTCAATTTAACTGGAGGTGTCAAAAATCAGGTTTCAAGTCCTTGGCTGGCTCAGAGGCCCCAGGCGGAGGGATGGAGTGAATCCACATTGGAAAGATGGGGCTTGATCATCTCCCATTCATTGCAACAATCACATTAATTTAGTGATAAGCATGTAATAAGCATTGGAGTCAATTACTCCTCCTCCATGGTTATTCAATCAGCTAGATACACACACACACACACACACACACACACACACAAACACACAAGGGACAGTCTGCATGAGAATGCAAGCAAACAGCCATTTCTGAGATTCGCCTGCATCTAGCCATCATTGGAAGCTCCCCCCCCCCCCCACAACTGCAGCACAGAAATGGAAAAATCCGTCAAACCTCACCAGAGAAGAATGGATGGAAAAAAAGAGATGAAGCTGGGAGACATGGCAAAATTGACTGTTTTAATCAGAAAACAAGAAATGATATATTCAGCTTTGGAAAATCCAGTTTTGGTTCGACCTGGATTTTTTTTCTGTAGACACAGGGTGGGGGGGGGAAATGAAATCTTGACTTTGCATTTTGCTAATTAAGATTAGTTTGTTAGGGTGAAAACGGCTCTTGCTTGTTAAGTTGGTCAAGTCAAAAGGGGAGGCTGCAGTTCTAGTTTTCATTTTTCTGCACTGAAAAAAAAATGGAAGTCAATGCTTTTCCCCCCCCCTCTTTCCCCCATTATCTTATACAGGCAGTCCTGTATAATGTACGACAACAGTTGAGCCCAAGATCTATGTTGCTAAGTGAGACATTGGTTAAGTGAATTTTGCCCCATTTTGCGAGCTTTCCTGCCACCGTTGTTAAGTGAATCACTTCAGAAAGAGAAGAGGAGAGGAAGAAGAGGGAAGTAGGGAAGAGAAGAAAGGGAGAAGGAAGACAGAGAAGAAGGAGCGTGGATGCAGTGAAAGGGGAAATGGGCGAGCAACACCAAAAGTCATGTGTATGTATTGATTTCATTTTCTTAAAAGTATCTTATATATGAATGTAAAAAGAATGTATGTTAACATCTGATAAATATCACGGTACATGTATGGGGGAGAGTTTGGAAAAATAAAAAATTATTTAAAAAAAAAGTGAATCACTTCAGTTGTTAAGCCAGGAACATGATTGTTAAGTGAATCTGGCTTCCCCATTGACTTGGCTTCCCCCAAAGTGGGTCATGTGACTCCTGGACCCTGCAACCGTCATAAATACGAGTCAGTTGGCAAGCGTCCAAATTTCAATCGGTGAACTGCAATGGTTGTAAGGGTGAAAAAACGGTCACGGGTCACCTTTTTTTCGGCGCCATTGTAACTTTGAACGGTCACTAAATGGACTGTTGTAAGTCCAGGACTTCCTGTAAAGGGTGTAGGAGTTGTGCAATTTGGGCAGGTAATTTTTTTAAAAAATATATTTTATTAGATTTTATATGGGTAGGGAAAAGGTGGGGTTGGGGCGGGTAGAGGGAAATCGAGATAAAGGGGACAGGGTGTGGATAGCTACAGTAAATATGTGATTCAGCGAACAAGCTGTCGTCCAGGTCTTCATATTGAGTATTATTGTTTATATAATGCTAGACATTTATAAGAATAAATCGGTATAGTTACAACTGACTTTTGGTAAAACAGTAATATTCCTTTAAATAATTAACATAGTTGATAGCATAGCGACTATTTCCAATCATCAAGCTTAATACTTATTATAATAAAGCTCTAAAACAGTGGTTCTCAACCTGTGGGTCGGGACCCCATTTGGGGTCGAATGACCATTTCACGGGGGTCGCCAAACCACGCTGTCCGCCATTTTTTTCCCTTTTCCCTAGCTGTCCTACTCCCTCTTATTGGTGGCCACACCCACTTGGGGGTCACCACAACATGGGGAACTGTATTATGGGGTCACGGCATTAGAAAGGTTGAGAACCACTGCTCTAAAATCTCTTATTCTAACGTGTTTCAACCCACTGATAAAAATTTCCCCAAGTTTTATAGAAGATTGAATCCTCTTTCTCCTTCATCTCCAACGTTAATCTGTCCATTTCTGCACAATCTAGGATTTTCAAAATTATAATCTGGTCTGACGGTAGGTTTGCATTTTTCCAAAATTGGGCGAATACTATTCTTGCAACTGTCAATACATGTAATATTAAATAATCATTTTCTTTGCCGTAGGTAGGTCTTAACATATCTCACAGGAACAGTTCTGGTTTAAATTCTATCTGGATTTTCATCGTCTTTTCTAACCATCTATGAATCTTAGACCAATATTTTTTTGCAATAGAACGTGTCCACCAGGCATGATAATAAGTAGGGCAGGTAATTTTTCACCCATGTAGGTGAGGCCAGGATTATGGGTAGGGATGTCCTGTTGAGGGGGGATTGCTTCTTAAAGACACTGGATGAGTGTACATAATATGCTCTACTTGGTTAGGTTACATCTTGTATGGCACACTCTGTTGTGGGAATCCAGCCTAATAGTCTACAGTAGTTCAGTGTTCCTCTCAACAGGAGCTACTTGAAGATGTGTGGACTTCAATTCCCAGAATTCCCCAGCCAGCATGGCTGGCTGGGGAATTCTGGGAGTTGAAGTCCAGATGTCTTTCTAACAGTCTAACTAGAACAGTGGTTCTCAACCTGTGGGTCGGGACACCATTTGGGGTCGAACAACCATTTCACGGGGGTCGCCAAACAACGCAGTCCGCCATTTTCTTTTCCCCTTTTCCTTAGCTGTGCTACTCCCTTTTATTCTATTGGCTTTTGAAAGCCAATAGAATAGACTCTCTTGAATAGAGTCTAATTCTATTGGCTTTCAAAAGCCAATAGGAATTGTCCAGGCTGTCTCTGCCCTGCTGAGCCCGCCAAAAGTCCCATTCTGCAAACGGTGCTGCACCAGTTGAGGAGTCCTCGACTTACAACCGGTTGAGTAGTCCTCGACTTACGACCAGTTGGGGGTCACGGCATTAAAAAGGTTGAGAACCACTGAACTAGAACCTTGAAGATATGTGGACCCCAACTCCCAGAATTCCCCAGCCATCATGGGGGATACTGCAACGGTCGTCAATGTGAAAAACGGCCATGTGACTTTTTCCAGTGCCGTCATAACTTTGAACGGTCGCTGAATGAACTGTGGTAAGTCAAGAACTACCTTTTACTTCTCCTTCCCCTTGCTTTCTCTTTCCCCATTCCCTCCTATCTTCATTTCAGTGGTGTTTAGGCCATGATTTTAGATGATGATTTAATCCTTTTTTTTTATTTTTGCGAAAGGAAGCTTACTTTCTCTTGCTCTCTCTCTTTTAGGCACCAGAAAAATTGCTTGAATTCCGTCTTCTCTCCTGGTAGATTTCCAGTGGAAAGGGGAAAAAAAAGATGGACAGTGGACAAAAAAAGAAGGGCAAGAATGGAAGCTGATGTCATCGACACATATACAAACACACTCAGCCAAAGAAACTTTGGGAATAAGGCAGAGCCATTGCGTAATACAAGGCCAGCCTAAAATCAACAAGAATAAACAACTAAAGAACAACACTGGAACATTAATACCATTTTTCTTCTAGTGAAGCTGCCAAGATCTAAGAAGAGAGCCAGCACATTTTTCAATATATTTCCGCTCTTGGAAGCTTCCGGTGGGAGGCGACGGCGATGGCGGCTAGCTTTTAGCCGTCCAGCTGGGGAAGTGTCAGAGCCGCGGAGCGCAGCGCGCATCAGCTGGCCCGCGGCTCGGAAATCCCTTCCCGGGCAAAGGGAAGGGATAGAGAACGCAAGAGTAGAGGTAGAACCCCTGAACCCCCTCTGGATTTATTTCTAGAGGGGGTGAAAGGAGTGTTCCCTCGGAGCTCTTGCTGATCTCCGCCTCCCAGCTGTTTTTGCTTCCTTGGAAGCAAAAGAAACCGCCGCTTCTATCTCCGTGTTTACAGCATTTTGGTGAGTAATTTTTAAACGGACGGAGCAGTTTAAAGGACTTTTTCTTATATTTTAGGTGTTTATTTTTTTATCTTTTGATTTTTACTATTTTTCCTCCTTTTCTTTGTTATACTAGTGAAAGGACTTAAGATGGCGTTTTGAAAGTGTCGGAGTTTTTTTTTCCTTTCTCTTTTGTTTTACTTTCCCTTTTTAAGGATTGTTTTTTGCTTTTGCTTTTGCTTTTGGCTTAGAATTTTTTTTTTGAATTGTTTGTTCTTTTATTACTTATTCTTGGGATTTATTCTGGACTTTTAATGATTATAGTTTGTCTCTTTTTAAAAATTCTTTTTTTCTTTTTTTCCTCCTCCCTTTTTGGCTGGAGGGGAAAGGGAAGTGACAATTGTGCTTTTTAAAATGGCTTCAAAGAGGCAGCAGCCTTCCTCAGTACCCAAGGTTATTTCTTCTCCTATAACTTCCACTGCACAGCTACAACAACAATCTAAACATGCACCACCGGCTCAGCCACCACCCTCCCCTCCTCTACCTGGACTTTCAGTGCAAGAGGTTAGAGGCATAATGGGAGAGATTGTAGTTCAAATGAGAGAGGAAATGACTCAATTTGTTTCACAGATTAAATCAGAAATTAAATCTGATCTCAAAGAAGAGATAACGGGGATAAAGTCTAAATTGCAAGAAAATAATAATGAATTACGACAAGATATACTGGCAGCTGTTTCAGGTTTGGCTACTGTGGTGGTTAAGCTCGATGCAAGGCTTGAGGAAGTGGAAGACAAAGTTGACTCTTTAGATGACAAAATTCAAGACGTGGAAAGGAAGGTGGACTCCTCACAAGAAGATATTTTGATGTTTCAATACAGACAAATGGAGTATGCTCTGAGGATTAGAGGCCTCAAGGAAGATATGAATCAAGATTTGATGGAGGTGGTTCTTAGTGATCTGGCGCTGGCTTTGGATATGGATAAAGGAGAATTACAGAGAGAAGTAGAAAAAATTTATAGACTCAACTCCTGGATTGCTAAGC